CTAAAAATTCCATGTCGATTATTTACGCTACATTCAGTGCCAAGTAAGTACTATTTTCCTTGTTTGTTGTTGCTCATGAACTTGTTCAAAGATTCTCCGGTTAACCTTTGCAAGAGGAGTGATTTTTTCATATAAATAACAACCCCACCTAGGAACAGTGTTTGGAAAACACATAATGGAATACTGACCGGTGCACAATGCACATTACAAACCATACTAGCTACGTGCCTTCAACGAAACCATCAATAACATTTTACTTAACCAAATAGCCACAAACGTTGAATTGAACTGACTACATAGAATAAAGAACAGCCTTCTCATTTGCGTTTAGTTTCGACTACGTGAAATAGGAACACGAAATAGAACACATCAAATAGAACACGTGAAATAGAACACGAAAGATCGATAAATTTGCGTTGCGTTCTGTTCTACGTTGCTCCCTGTGAATGTGAACATCAGAAAGGTCGGAAAACTTCGATCAACAATCATTTGCAAAGAACTTAATTTTAACCGCTCGACCATCGGACGCCAATCAACATGCCACTTTATGTGGGGAACCATAGTGGATTGCAGTTCTAGTAAAGCACCCCCTGTACCAGCATCGTCAAATTCCATCATATCTTTTCCAAACGAACTGTAATTACTGTCCAGATGTCAGTATTTGCACCGAGACAGCAGTGGCCTGAAAAGACTGTTGACCAGGCCATTCAGACTAACTGTGATATTCAACCAAACTTTTCTAGAAGAATTTCCGGCACACGTCATACATGTGGGGTTGTGTGAATATTTTGGTACCTCACGCATCTGGATGTTTTGAATGCTCCTTTTCTTAACTAAACAATTCGTGTTTTAGTGTTTTGCAAAATGTGCGTGTAGGCCATGAATAATATGTGCATATGGATGTGTTTCAGGAAACGTCGAGTTTTCGGGTGAGTGAGGCCACTGTTGTTGTTTAAAACTTTCTCTAGTTCATCACAACCCGATTGTGCAAAACTATTTAGTCCGAATGCATTTGGGCAAAAGAGCCAATCAAGGTGTAGATAAATTTCATTTTTCCGTCCACTTACACGGTAAAATAGATTGCTGTGCACTTGAACGTTTCCTTCCTGGTTAGCGTAGAATGACCCGAGTTGGAATACATGCAGCAATTTACCGGAAGATTAAAGTGGTATTATTCGGGGCACACACTTGTTGCTCTCCGCAGATCCGCAGTATTTCCAACTGTGACATCATGATGGGGGAGGTAGATACGGAAGAGGTTTGCAAACACCAATAGGTGCACCAAATGGGTGGCCCTATAAAATAGAGTAAGCCCGTTTTTTGTCTTTTTGTAGAGGTTTGTTTTATCCTGTGAATTTCTCGGAAAAAGAACTGTCCAAGCCTTCTCCCAATCGATATGTTTTAAACACTTGACATTCAGCATCTTTGAATGGAAAAGTTGATGGGCGCTGATGCAAAACTTAGCTGATGTCAAGTCCATCATTCGCTCCAATTTCTAACCGCACCACCGCCGCATGTGTCAGTGTAGAAAAATACTTTATGGCGATGGAATGGTGTTGTGAGACGCCACCGATTAACTCCGCAAATTTTTTTTGAAATCCGACCAGAAATCTTTCAAAACTAGCGATTGTAGTTCACCCGGATATTTTAGGGAGTTCCGTGCAATTTGACCCCTTTTACTTACGAAGCGCGAAACAAGCGGATTTTGCTTATTTGCGTTAGTTCATTGGATTTTGATGCAGATACTGATGCAGTCCTTTAGTTGAATTTCCCATTCAAATACAACCAACATCACACTGCCTGATTTACTGGGTATACGCTTCAGTCATACATCATACGACAAATTGTATTTCACTAATAAACCTGGGCCATCTGTACCCGCGGGACATTGGGCTAAATTCTCTTGATATTTTCATAAATCCAGAAATTTAGCCTCCAACGGATGCGCGAAGACAGTTCGAAAACGCCCCCTGCTGAAAAGCCCAGAAATATGTACGGGGGTATCTTGCATTTGAAGCCGCCACGAGCTCCCATCACACGAAACTTCAGGGCAGATATTTAAGCAGGCGGTTTTTCGGCTACCGGAGTGGAGCCAATAGCAGCAGATTGGCAGCTTGCATTTCAAGAGTAAATCACCATAAGTTTACCGGCCTCTCGAGTGACGACTTGTCAAATGAAAAGGGGTGCTTTTTTTGCTTTTTTTTGCTGACAGCCATTGATTTGCAATATTTTGTAGTTGCTGAGTACTGCACGATAGTGATGATTTCTTTGATGTTAATGATTGCTTTATGTATGCCACCATCAAGTGTTTAGTTGTTGCTCGTTTTATATCAGCTGTTTTCGGTCTGAGCAAGCTGAACCCACCTGCGTTTCGAAACGTATTGTGCAAGGGGACCTGTTTTCGGTTTTAAGGGAACACAGATCATATTTGTCACAAAAGATAAAATTCACGTTTCTGTAACAAACTTTTAGAGAGCTCGCTTGGAGGTAAGCCAAATGCGTGTGTTGATTTTAAGTTGAGCGCAAACGAACTTAGAAAACACGTAAGCAGTTTCACGGATGTATTTTACAAACGCGGCCCGAACTCTGTAAATGTATGCACGCAGCTCCCACCATACATCCAGATACCATTTAACAGTGTGTTTGTCTTAGCAGGCAAAAGCGTAGGCTTACAAATCCTCCGATACATGTAACCTACCGCTACAGATTTATCATCCACAACCAATTATCAGTGGTCAAAATAGAATATAACCTGATTACCGACCGTTTCTTCGAGCACCCCTAATGACACTTATATTGCTATAGATATCTATATTTATGTTTCATGGCATGTGTGGCAATATTTTGAGCTCATTGATAGAGAACGTTGCAACTCGGGGGGAGCTTCCTCACCCGTCGTATACACACTCTTAACTCCAGTTGATCATTACACTTTTGAACAAAGTCGGCTAGCAGTGCAGGCACTTACATATACGAAACATGTACGGGCAAGCAAAATTTTCGAGGCTGCCCATTGATATTTACGCCCCAACCACTTATTGTATTTAGTAGTAGTCCGAGAGGATGAAATTGTTTGGCAACGTGGGAATTCGTAATTCAATTTTTACGCCAATCTTCGGTGGAAAGATTGGAACCATCTTTTGGCTGTTTTGCTTTATTTCGGAAGAATCGGTTGTTAGAATGAAAAATAATTTGTCCTAACTGTATTCCCAAACACAGGCGATGCTCTACGTCTTAGTAAGTAAAATTTCCTAAGTTGCAGATTTTCTTGTGCGAGGTAAAACGTTTAGTTTGTCATATAGAGTTTTTCGTAACACAAATATGAAATGGTGGCATGAGAATGCCAACACTTGCTGAGGTTGTCCACCCCCAAATCTAAGAAAATTCATTTCAAGTTTTTCAAATTTCTCAGCAAAGTCCCAGTCAAAATCTAACAATCCCCTGAAACGCACGTCAAATGTTAATGTACAATTCTGTGCTAAGGCCGTGATCTCAAAGCAAGGAACTGTTTATTCAGCCTAAACGCAAAAACTATCTGACAGGTAAAGCGTAGTCTAATTCACCGACGGATGCTCAGTAACAATTGCGGCGAAACCGAATTCTACGAACTTCACCTGCGTTTTTTCAGTAGTCGCAACTGAGCAGTAAACAATATATTGAATCGGACGTAGGCAGACGGTACAGATATGTAGAAAGTGTTTCTATAGAGAATTAACAGCAAATCGTGAGGAGACTTAAAGAAAGGCTTACGGCTAGATGGAAACTTGGGCAGTTAGCGACACAGGATGGCGCAAGTAGGGCAGTGTGCTATCGGACAAATTAAACGGAAAAATGTTGTTCAGTTCAAAGTGGTACAAATTTTTAACAAGAAGCCCAGAAATAAATGTAAACAAATCGTCCATAGAAAAACGGTTGAAGTAGAGTCAACTTTGTATAAAATAGAACCGTTCGGTCTCGAAACTTGAGCTGTTACCGGAAGGGTGATGAATTAGCTTAAGGAATCAGGAAACAAATAATTACGTCACGTAATTAACAGTTAACATAATTTGAAATGTGACAAATTCAAAAACAAGTGTAAATCCAACGGAGTAAAACAAAAAATATACAAATTTAAAATAGTAACCAGTGCCAAATATGACTGAATAATAAACAAGGAGGCTGTTCAAAAAACGGTTGAGGTAGAGTCAACTTTGTATAAAATAGAACCGTTCGGTCTCGAAACTTGAGCTGTTACCGGAAGGGTGATGAATTAGCTTAATAAGGAAGGAAACAAATAATTACGTCACGTAATTAACAGTTAACATAATTTGAAATGTGACAAATTCAAAAACAAGTGTAAATCCAACGGAGTAAAACAAAAAATATACAAATTTAAAATAGTAACCAGTGCCAAATATGACTGAATAATGAACAAGGAGGCTGTTCGGATATCTGTGATAAAATACATAAAAGTTCTAAAATAGAGGCTTTTCACAAAGGCAATGAAATTTTCACTGGTCATGAAGCTAAAAACCACCAAATTAAAATTATGATTCCAAGAATGAACGCTTAACTAGATCTGCGCCTTTAGAAGCAAGACGGCAGGAGCGTGCTGAACGAACTGCCCATGTCCTGTGTTAAGTGTATATGATTTCCGGACGATAAATGAAAAATCCTTAGTTGAAGTTTACCTTTAACCAAGAATCTACGTGCCGGCAAAATGAGTTCGGATACGCGGGTATATCACACTTACTTTTTTTCGTTGCTCAAACAGTACAGGTTACCATGGCGTTCATTAGACTTTTACCAGATGCTTTTGACTGCACGTTTCTTTCTCTGTTTGTGCATCATAACCAGCCATGACCCGGAAATCAGTTGGGCGAATACGGTTTTACTGATTCGTGTTCTGCCAGTGTTGTATTGGACTTGTATTTTAGGAAGGTTTACACACATTTGTTTACTGATGTTTGAATTTCCCACAGTTGTTATTTGGTCGGTTCCTTTTGGGGTGATAAACGTACATAGCATTTACGCCAAACGCCAATACAGTGAGCGTCTTTGTGAAATTGTCCGAGGATATAAACGGTCTGGCGATGATTATATCTTGCTGAACTAATAATGAATTAAAAATATGTTTTAAGTATTCACGCACCTCAACTGCGGCCAGCACAGGACAATCCACCTTACACGATGATAAGCCCATCAATCAGTTTAAGCACACCTTGCTGCAAATTAGACGTAATTTTAACTCTGCTAATATGCGAATAAATGCAATTTTTTAAGCACTACCTTTGTATCCAGCTTCGTGGATGACAAGCAATTATTCCTCCACTACAGTGTCAGATGTCTCGCAGGTCCCGTCGTGTAAGTTATTCAGTCAGTCAATTAATCACTCGTGACTACAAATAATTACAAAAGTTTGTATACATTGCGCGGGCTGATTGTTCGCTTGCTTGCTTCACGAAACCATGCATATTTAGTGAGAGGAATAGAGACAATAAATTTGTGAACTGGTAGGGTGAAGTACCGAAGTCGCATTACTGTTGGCCATACGTTTAGGCACTTTTGTCGAATTCAAATATTTTATTGGTTTAAATAAGCCGGCACACTGGAAAAAGCGTTTAGACGCATGGCTTTAGCCAGGTTAGTTTGTTTGTGCGTTGTTTGCGCTTTCTACCGTGTAATGTGGTTCAATACTCCAAATTTCATTTCTCTGCCTTGAGAACCTCCGAGTGATTTGTCACACTAAAGGGTGAACATTTACAAAAGCGCTTTTCGCATGCGGAAAAGGGGTGCATAGAAGCATTTTACGATTTCAGGGAATGAAAGGAAATGCGTAGTCAAAAAACATGCCAGGACTGCAGTTGTGCCCACTCTCCGCAATCTTACCCAATTTTTGGATGGTGTGCGTAATATTGATGATTGTGTCATTGTCACACTCGCTTCACCTACAATTTGCACACAGATGCTTGTATGTCGCATATCAACCCTTGTAAGTTTTATCAAAGATACGTATGCATGAACATTTAATTTTCGCTTTGCTTCAAAATATACTATACCAAACATATCCTCGAAACGTTTCCTTTTAGCAATAATGGGAAGCGAAACTTACCAAAGTAAGTTTTCTCCTCAGGAGCAAATGTTATGTTATTGTTTCAAAAAAATGAATTGTGAGGCATCAGGGCAAGTTTTGTGCTTTTGTTCCCGGCCGAGTTGAGAACATAAGCAAAAAAATTTGCGGAGGAATATTAAGTTGCCAACTAGAAATCTGTTCAGAATAATGGTCTAATTATATCCCACTGTAGGGAATGACAAATGTACAAATAAATTTACATGAAACTGTATTTGGACATCAATGAAGCCAGAAAGTGTTTCCATTAAATGGGGTTTAGGATTTTTAGTAAAGTTAATCTACACAAGAAACGCGAGAGCCACTCTGCATCGGCATGTGGGTAAGCGGAACCCACAGCCTTCTAAACAGTGACTAAACAATGGACTCGTTGACCAGTGTTGACAAACCAGCACTGAGATTAGTTCCAAATTGGACGCGACGTTTTGTCACTCAGGGTACGAATGCTGAAACCATATTGATTAGCTCCTCAAGGGACAGCTTCTTATGAGGAGGTTGTCTTTATTGCTGCCTCTACTGCGGAGACGCGACATTTTGTCACTCAGGGTACGAAAGCCGAAACCATAGTGATTAGCTCCTCAAGGGACAGCTTCTTAGGAGGAGGTTGTCTTTATTGCTGCCTCCACTGCGGGTGTTACTCTAACACATCCAATTGTAGAATGTAACATTTGCACAAAGCATCACTACCAGTAATTTTGGAGCGCGGTTTGTATGCTCTCACCAAAGTGGCCCGCAAAACTGAAGAAATAAACCCATATTTTGCATTCACAACTGATAAAAACATTAACTAAGAGAACTAAGAGAAACATTCAGTGGAAACTCAGCATATTTGCCGTAAATTCCTAACGACCACACGATTTCTGAACGCAGCATTAGACACTGGTACCCCAACAATTTGAAGCAAATGTTTTACTTATTAGGGCTATCAGAACCAGATCCTCTCTGGAAATTGTAGCCCTCCAGAAATGAAAAAGCAGAGCAAAAATAATAATACAAAAAGTGAATAAAACAGAAATACAGATAAAAAATGAATGGAACTATAAAAACCATCAAGTAGTTTTAGTTGATGATTTATTTCTTATGTCACAAACCTTGTGTCCTTTATTTTACCGTGGGGCAATCGACGAGTAAATTTAATAGGTCGCCATGTTTTCTGTGCAATTTAGCTGCTTATAAACGTACTTTTGAATTAAAGCAGAGCGTCGCGTGATCTTCCACTGTCTTTAGTATCCTCAAATTTATTGCGGTTTGTTTTCAGCACGTCTATCAAGTAAATATTTCTCTCGTAAATATTTGTCCGGACGTCCGCATATTTGTACAAGAAAATCTCACATTAAAAACAGTGACTACAATTTTCCGTTGATCGTCACAGAACGATTAAATAAAACAAGGTCCATGTGTTACGCCTGTCATCATAAATTAACAGAATCTCTCTAATTATTATTGTTCCTTAATTAAACATTTATATACATGTTTATTTACACGCATATATACATATATATATTTCTGCCGGATTCTTGTTCAGAAATCTACCTGAGAAAGCCACCTACGTGTATGTGATCAATAATTCTATAGTTCAGAGCAATCCGGACGTAAACGGCAAAGCTTAGGAACCTGCGCTCGCCCAAAATAGATGAATTTTCGGGAAACAGCTATCCCTAGTACCTACTCAATTTTCGCCACCACATCCGGGTTGGATATGTTATTACTATTATTATTATAACCTTATGGTTGTATTATTATAAAATTTTATTAGTGTAACGTGAAAACAGCCTTTCAGCAGTTATTTATGTGTATTAATGGTTTAAGAAATAGTAGTATATTTAAGAGTGCTCGAAACCACTATTTTAAAGCGCTTTCAAAAATCTGCAATCTGTTTCACTAAATTTGCATAGAGCGTAAGTCCGTGTTTCATAAACCCGGTTGGACACTTTTAAAGAATTACATTTGTCAATATCGTACAAAATGTCCGCGCTTGCTAAACTTAGAAAATTTCTTCGTGGTACGTCATCACTTTAAGAATCTGGCTAAATGTTTCTCTGAAAAAGAAAATATCATGCGAAATTAATGGGTGGCTGTATAATAGGTGACCCGCAGTCGACCTCAGTAACGAATAAAGGCAAGCGGGCATTGTAAAAATCGAGCGTCTATAAGCCTTTAGCACTTTAACGCGGATGTCAATACTGTAATAGCCTGATCCCCCAAATCTGTCGCCTGAACAATTATCTACTGACTTAAAGCAGGGAAATATTAAATTTCGGGAAAAACAAATTGACAGGAACAATATTATAAAAGGGGTATTGAGACCTTTTAGTTGTGTGCTCCGAAGTTGCTGGAGCTGCAATGTATTGTTGTCTCTTCATTCTCCTTCATAGAATGCAATGCGTCATGTTATATTGGATTTCCATGGAATATAGCCGTCCCTTATCCTCATGCAAAACCCTTATCATCATGCAAAAATTATTCGGTAAAATGTAATCTCATTTACCAAATTTTTTAACACAGAGCATTTTATATTCATTAACAATATTTTTGATACGTCGGCATGTGGAATAAAGCTACCAACTATTATCAACTCATTCACTGACGTTGTGTTACGTTACAACTTTGGCAGTTTTACGTCTTGAGTAGCCATCCGCCAGAATAAGACCTAAAGACAGACCCAAAATAGCAATATAAAGAAAAGAATTATCGAAGATGGCTTGCTGAAACGCGTAGTGACATGTGCCATGGAAATTTGAACGTTGGCCAACCTGCCAAAGTTCATGAGTTTTCAGAGTTATGTTGTGGTTGCGAGAAAATCAGCAGTGCGCCGGGAATCCTGGACGAAATCTGCAGGAACAAAGAAGACTTGTAACATTGTTGATGGTCTAAGTGTTTTCGGGCAGTAAATGTTATCTGACAGTGATAAAGTAAACTGATCACAAATATATTTATCTAAGTGAATCTGTTTCAGTGGACATGGCAAAATTTAGTAAACTTTATACACGATCGACCCTAACTACATAGAAAGCCACAAATGATCCCTTAACCTGATAGTTGCTTTTGAAGTCTCCTGCGTCCTGGTTTTAGATAAAGTTCCATTTGAGTTGTCAAAAAGTACTATTGAGTCCGCACAGCCAGCACGGTGAAAAACGCATTCTACAAGGTCATACACATTTAGACGGTGAGAAATTACGCTAAAACCGCCGCTGGAGGATTCAGGTCAAAAGCATTTGACGGACCAAGTGGTACAAGTCTGGATTCACCCAATCATATGACCACGTTTATTAGTCCAGTAGTACTTAAAAATTGGAAGATGCAGTTTTTCCGTGTGTTAAACTTTGATGCAGGCGACCAAAGTCAAGCTCCCCAGATGGAAAACCACTTAATGACTGGTGACAGTGTTGACTGGGGAAGATGGAATGTTGGCTACAATTGATTCACTGGAGAGTATATGTGCTTAACAAATCAAAAGGATTGCTAAACTCGGCATCTCACTATTGAGTTCGAGTGAAAATGCACTATTTTGCCTGCTATGTGCAGTGAAGTAGTATATGAGGATCAAAAATGAGTTATTTTTCGTAAATTGTGAAAATTAACCAAGTTCATGAATGGCGTTTGCGTAAACTCTCACAGCGTATTGCGTGAGCAATAACACTCCCCGATAAATTATGTAAAGTCGTCGTCGCAAAATTTTCTTTTCGATTACCTCGATTTAACTATATCTGAAGAATGCATATTTCCTATACCATGCTACCTCCCAAGTAATAAACTGTGAGTTATTCCGAAACAAACACGTTACTATATATACATCGTCATATAATGAACATGCGGAACTCTGCGGAAAGCTCCGTGGTCGGTGATCAGTTGCCATTGAGTGAGCGGGTGAGACGCCGTATATCTAGAGCGTATCCAGCTACGTGAGCATGTCCAAACAAGTCGCGATTTATTACCGTTGTGTTCTGACCAACTGAAAAAATAAAAAGTTCCTCAGA